CTAGCTTAATTCAACCGTTCTCTTCAACGTCTATCTGGCGTCGAGACGCTTCGATCCAAATTATGCCTTTTGTATTTATATAGTACATAATGTACTTATATGCTTTTAAAGATGTACGTGTAGGTCGTAGGTGTAGATACATTTAATAAAATAGGCATATAATTTCTTCGAATTATTATAGATAATGTATATCTAATAATTTAATCTGTTGTCGGTGCATGACATACGTATGCACAACGAATTGCACTTCGATTTAAATAAAAGATGCATTTAAAACAAGTATTTTAACAGATGAAAAATATTGTATTGTATACCCGGTATAAAAACAGTCGCCACAGTGAATAGTTATGTTGTCACCTAATTAAGACTAATTTAACTCATAATTCAATTTCTGAGAAATAACAACCTTTTATCTCATAAAAACAATTATCTCAAGCTGTATCTGCTAAAGTGAAGTAAATACCTAGTATTTTTTTGTACTAAAAATGAACAAAAATCATATTACTAAAACAAATGGATATTTTTTTTATTTATCTAAATGCTCTCAGTATTTACCAACTGTGACAATATTGAACACTAAAAGTATTTTTTATGCGCCAACAATTACTGAGGTATATTGGAAAAACATTTAATAAATTACAATGTATAATAAAATGATATCAAATAATTCTTCGTATTAATATTTTAAAAATAAAAATCACATCGCTGAAAAAACTTACGTTTTATGAGGATCTTTATGCAACTCACTGTCAGTTAGTTGCACAATGTAAGTTGGCTTTTATTCTTTCGCCTAGTTTGCCACTTTTGCTTATAGCAAATCTCTTGATTTGAGATGAATATTTTTGCAGTAAAAGTTTCGAAAAAAACGTGAATAACTAAATTAAGTAGGTACTTGTCGAATAAGTTGTGAATTTAACTTAACGATACTCGCGAAACTTGGCGAATGCGGTGAATTAGAATAAGACAGGAACGTCTATATTTAACATGCACTAAATATAATGCTTAATCGTAACATAGAGTCGTAACTTGTACCGCTACAGATTTACAGTGTGCAACTAATTTTAATCACCTGTCAAAACAATCGAAGTACCTGTGTTTTGTTGGGTATTACAGGATTTTAAATACACCTTACTGTTACTTTTATGTGGTATCAGAAAATTGTTAATAAAAATATGCATAATGATTATTCAATTACTCAAGTAATTTGCAATAAGTACGTTAAAAAAATCAAATTACACACTAACCTTTATGCAGTGCAGAAATGGCTCTGAAAAATTAAATGGTCCATGTCACTAAAACAATTGTTATGTAGTTCATTCACTTTACACTTCGATCATTCTAAATACAACGCAGCTGAAAATAATTCAGTAATTGCACAAAACGTACCCCCTCAAGAGTTAATCTAACTTTGTCAAACTCCGTGAACTGTCAAGCATTGTCAATTGTGAAAGTTTGACACAAAACAATAATAATAGTAATGACTATGTCAAAATTACTTGTAGCCAACACCTAGAATGAATAAAATCGTAATAGCTGACAATATAACAAAACTTAACTGAGTGTATACTTTGTCCCAAAAGGTTTTAATATAGACTGTATACAATATAATAACAATGTGTAAAAATAAAACATTAAAAGGGTTTTGCAAATTTGTATTTATAATTGTGAGTTTCTAAACAAAGCATTTCCGGTAATTTTCACTTTTATATCCCAAAATTTTGTAACAGAAACAAAATTTCTTGTTTGTTTCCAGAAATTAATCATCTATTTAAAATTATTTAGCTGCAGTTTAATCAATGAATTTATTGTCTCCCTCGGAAAAGCTCTTAAAACTTTCTCGCTTTTTAGAAGCATCTTCAGAGTGGTGAATAGTTTATCGAGACTGCTTATAATGCGCTGATGGGATCTAATCAGATCGAAATAGATCAGTATCATGTAGTTTCAATAAATCTCTACTAAAGAACTTAAACGTTTTTATTAATTAGTTTACGATCCTATCATTCAAGCAAGCTGCGTCGCCGATTCAGTAATGCATTTGTTTAACGTCGTATTTGTCAGTCAGGTTAAACATGGTTATTTTAAATTATTTAGTTAATCGTATTTGTCCACCACGGTATTCAATATGAACTATTTTTGTAGTAGCAAATGCCCACTAGATGGCGATATACTGATTCTATTTAAAAATGACAAAACTAGAATATACCTTTACTTCCCAAATATAAAATCAATTTAATTTGTTTTGAGTTTTTTCATTTCCTAGTATTTTTTTATTGTATTTATGAACTCCACTATTCTATCTGTTAACATTTTACAAAAATGACACTTTTTTACTTTATCAAATCAATTTACCATTACTAATGTCTTCGCTAACAGTTAAATATGGCATTATACCGCAACGAAATATTATAAACTATAGAAATCAAAATGTTTTCTAATTGGGTTATATTTTATTAACTACCTTTACAATTAAATGCGCAAATCACAAAACTCAACAAATGTGTTCCTTACTTCCACATTTGCCTGACAGCTTTTTGTGAAGCAAGGTATTTCGTAACGAAAGATGCAATAGTAAGTCCAACCAACACCATAACAATAAGTCCATGGTCAAAATCTTCCTTTAACAAATCGAAAGTTTTGGACGGGGCTACTCGTGTATAAAATAAATCCAAACCATGCACCAAAACCAAACAAGTACTCTCTAATCTAGCCGGCGACACACTTATTCCTCTCACTCTTAGCAAACTTTGATTATAGTTAATGTTAGCTTCAGGAGGAAGAGGTAACTCTGGTACATATGGAATGAACCCTTCTTCAGGTCCAGAAGGTCCAAAGGCACCTCGAGGCTCCATAATCATCCACGGCACCTGAGTAACGGCCCCATTGGTCAAAGCAAAAAGCAAATGCTTGCTTGTTATACCTCTTTCAGTAAGTGTTACTGTAGCTGCTGAAGCAACTGCAGGTAAAATATAGGCCTGACTTTCTACATGGGGCAGCTGACTAATAGCATGTGAACTGAAATGGGTACTGTTACTTTGGAAAGAACCTTCATATAACTCCAAAGCCACCACCTCAGTTCTTCGAAATCTCTCATTAAAGTATGTGTAAACTAACCAATTTTCTGAGTGGATTATGTGGATTGGTTCTCTGGTTCTTTTATGACAAGCAGAGTAGATTACTAAACCTGAAACTCCATCTATCAAATAAAATGTATGAACATTTTTATGGAGTGGATCATCTGTTAAAGTAGATAAAGCAATTAGATTTGGATTCACATATTTGTATAGAACCGAACGGTCACCCAGAACACGACCCTGAGAATGTACAATTTCAGACGCGGGGCGAATTCCATATGAAACTACTTCTGAAGGCCCAAAGTCTACATTCCATTTTAACGTTGCTTTTGCTTCTTTTTCAGTACTATGTCGAAAACTGTATCCCGATATGGATTTTCTGTCTTTGTTAATATTAAACATGAATAAGACATGTCTATAAGAATATAAATCCATGATAGCACTTTCCGGAACTAGCTCAACAAGTCCTTCAGTAGTAAAAATGATCAATGGCTTTAAGAAATTCTCCGTCTCTTGGGGCATCAGCATAGCTTGTTGTATAGGTGATGATAAATATTTAACATTTACAACATTTCCGGTTATTGGATCAAATATGTACACTATACCATTTCCCGAAATACTGCTCTTCATTAAAACAATACATTGTGGTGAAAGAGGGTGATGTCGGGCTGTTCTTTGGACAAAAAGGGCTGCAATTTGGTTGTTTAACCCATCAAACGGACTAGTATTTGGTAAGTACTTGGACCAAACAATGTTTCCAGTTAAAGTGTCCAAAACAAACAACTTTCCTACTTTAGTGACTAATACAATAAGTTTATGTAAACCAAAATCATCTCTCCATAATGTAGTATTTGTAGTAGTTTGACTTCCGGACATTAAAAGCTTTAACTGATTAAATTGACTGGTTATTCTTTTTTTAAACATGTCAATTACACCTCCAGATCCGATGTCAAACTCATGTTCAATTGAAGCATCTAGAGGAGAAACAGGAAGTTCCACAAATTCAGTAGCAACTATTTGGCTTAAGGCTTCCTCTCTTGTCCATACTATTTTGCCAGATGGCAACTGTATAACTGACAAAGAGTTGTCTAGTGTTTGAACCAAGACCCTGCAAGCAGTTCCTTTGCAAATAGCACAGAGAATGTTAGGTTGCCAAAATTCTTTGTTTGTTTCAATGGTAAACACTATTTCTTCACCAGTTAATGTATCTAAATTTGTAATTTGATATTTGCCATTATTTTCAACCATTTGAGATATGTGTAGCAATATATTTTGTTCCCCATTGGTTGCCGAAACAACTGAAGGAGATACTTCATATGGCAAAAGATAAAAAGATCCATCAGGGTTTAGGCGTAGCACTTTGGCATTATCATTTTTTACCAAGATAACTGAAGATTCAGTAGATTTAAAAGGCAGAATTGACATAGACTCAGATTCTTTTCCTACATCACTCAAATCATAAGCATACATTTTTTGTTCTTGGAGTAGATTTATATATTTTACTTTGTTTTCGTCAAGACATGCAAAAAATAAGCCACTTATGGTACATTGTGTAAGATCTTTTATCCAAGGTCCATTAATTTTGATACTTTTTCCACTATTCTGACCACTTAATAAATGATACTTACTAAGTTCTATATGTGAATGAGGTACTGCAGCAATATGTAATAGCTTATTTTCTGATACAGTAAAGTAAGATGTCATGTTCTTATCAAGATGAATTGTCCATTCTCGTAGCAAGGTGCCAGAAGATAAGTCCCAACCTCTTACAAACCAATTATGACCATCACCTGATACCGACACTGCTTCTTTCTGAACGTGAAGTAACTTAATACGATGCTCTAATGGATTTTCTAAGACTTGCCTCCATACAATTTGTCCGTTTTTTAAATTTAATGAAGCAATAACATTTTCTTCAGTGGCAACTATTATTTTTTTAAGTGAATCGAGGTTTGCAAATTCTATTTTTCCTATGTATGACTGCTTCCAATCAAATTTATCAACTTGGTCTTCATACAAAGCAAATGTTTTGTTAAAAAATAATAGAAAAATTAAAAATTCCAGTAATATTGATTTAAAATAATCCATCTCCTTCCACTACCCTCACGTTGTAACTTGTCTTAACTGGTCCTAACCTCAGGAATTAAACTGAATTAAACTAAACTATTGAACTAAACCATAACTGACCATAATTAAACCACAGTATAAACAGTATAATGCAGTATAAACCTATATAGTTTATTCTGTGACTAAATTATGTTGAGGAACATAGATAATTTTAGGACCATCTCAGGACCATGCCATAGAAAGAACTGTCAGGAACATAGATAGTCAGGAACATCGACTTTAATAATGGACATGCCTCAGCGGTCAGAATTGTGCTACAACAAAAGAAACAGATAAAACGAAGTTTCGGACAATATCCATCTCTCTCAGAATAGTGCGTAAGCGTGTCATGAATTAAAAGTCAATTTATTCAAAAACTACTGAAAATATGATCATTTAATTGAAGCCAATTGATTGCGTATCATTTCTGTTGAAGACTATATCTAATATTTAAATTATTTAGTGGTAATAATTAAATAAAATACTAAATTTTTCATTGATATTACTAATCGCATGCGCCATTAGTGAATCATAGATAAAAATATGACATAACATAACAATGCCATTGAAAAATTTAGTATTATTTGTAATCATTACTAATAAATAATATAAAAACACATTCCGCTTACCATAATAGTTTAATTTTTAAGCACAAATGACACGCAATCAATTGACGTCAATTAAATTATCATATCTTCAGTCGTTTTTGAATAAATTGACATTTAATTTCCATCTGCACCTCAGTTAATTTTCTTTTTTTTTACGAACTAATAGACGCACAATTGTGGTACTTATATATTTAAAACCCGCGAATAACGCATAATTTACTGGTAGAGTTTAAATCAGAGGATTATTTGTATCGGGTGCCAGATTCACGTAACAATATAAGTCAATTATCTCCATAATTATATCTACAGGTAATCTATAACCTGCTTGTCAGTTGTTGCATCTGACAACTAGCTATCTATGACAATTTGACAGTTACCTGTTACTTACCTGCATGCTTATCTACCAGTTGTGTAGCGTTTTGTAGCCATGTACTGATAGCAGAGGTAGTGGCCGGGACGTAGATAACACGTCTACGAGTCCCCAAAGTGAGTTACACTTTGATGATTTTTATCGAAGTAGAACTGCTTATTAGTTAAACTGAAGAAATTCTTCATTTTAAGTATTATTTTTAATTCCTGGCTGGAGTATAGTTTACGATTCTGTTTTTTTATTCCAATATGGCAAGTCCCAGAACTAGACGAATTCTTCAAGAATTGAAGCCTCATGATGAAAATGATGTACAAAACTCTCACTAAAGGGATGTATTTCTTTTAAACTGCTTACTATAATTTGTAGAAATGTTTTGAATGTGGAGCACACAATCCTCAATGGGTATCTGTAACATATGGTATTTGGATCTGTTTGGAATGCTCTGGGAAACACAGAGGTCTGGGAGTACATTTATCTTTTGTTAGATCTGTGACAATGGATAAGTGGAAAGATGTTGAGTTGGAGAAGATGAAAGTAGGTGGTAACCGTAATGCTAGAGTATTTTTTGAGTCACAATCAGATTATGATGATAGCATGAGTATTCAACAGAAATATAACACGAAAGCTGCTGCATTGTATAGAGACAAGGTAAGTTGCAATAACAATTACTTGAAAGTGTCAAAACTGATAAGGAATTTTAAGATTTCAACTTTAGCACAAGGTAAACCTTGGGATGAAAAGAAATCATCAGCTCAAAATCATAGCATAAATTTAAGTAATTGTAATGATTATAACAGTGGTTATAACAGCAATTATTATAGTTCTTCAAATTCATACCAGTCTTGCAATGATTCTTATCAAGGTAACAGTTACCAAAACTACAATTCTATGGAATTTAAAGATCAAAAAGAAGCTTTCTTTAATCGTTTGCAAAATGAAAATGCCTCTAGAAGAGAGTAAGTAATATTGAAAGCATGTTGATAATGGTGATAATGAATTTTTTGTGTTAAAAATGTAGTGATTTGCCACCAAGTCAAGGAGGGAAGTACACCGGTTTTGGTTATACAAAAGAAACCCCTCCAAGAAGCCAGTCCCAGGAATTTGTAGATACTGCACTATCATCATTAGCAAATGTGAGTGTTTCTTTAAAACCTAATAATCAACATTTATAAATTGGCATATGAAAATGTCTATACTAATATTTCAAGAAATTATAACAATGTATGAATGAGTTAAACTCAAAAACTTTTTCATTGTTACAAAGCTGAATTAATTATTTTTTTGATATGGTAATATCTTTTTTCTTTTCTTTTTTTTTCTTCAATTGCATATTTTTTGTTTGAACCAATTTAGGGTATCTTTAAATCTACAAAAGATTACAATTATCAACAAAATAGAAATATTTTTTGGTTGTTTGAACAAGTCAGTTAAAAGGTTGGTAGTAGGTAATGTGTATCCATGTTTTAAAGGTTTTTCCTACTATTCATTTTTATGATTTCAAATATAGGTGTCAAATAATTATTAAAACACTTGAACTATCATAGGTGCATTCTCTAAAAACCAAACAAGAATATTTAAATTGATACTTTTGTTAAATATTCCACGATTTATTGTTTTGTAACTGCGGTTGGCATCTTCAGTGGTGAAACGGTTTTATTTTTTTTAAATTTTAAACGTTACATGGTAAGTCTTACCGATTTGAATTTTAGTTCAATTAAGTTTTGTTGGTAAAACATTTTGTTGTCTGTGCTATTGAATTCAGTTTCTTTTAAATAAATGCGTTTAAAAAACTGTTGGCTTGAAAGGTGACATTTCTAACAAATAATAAATTTAAAATGTTTCCTGTTTTTAATACTCCTTATCTATGCAGGGCTGGTCTTTGTTTTCTTCTGCTGCGTCAAAAGTCGCTAGCAAGGCTTCAGAAAACGCTATAAAATATGGAGGATTAGCAACACAGAAGGTAGCTGATATAAGTGTACAAGTTGGTGAAAAGGTATTTTTTGTTAGTTTTGTTTTTTTTTTCTTCACTCATTTTTTGTAATTTTGCTTGTTATTTCATTATTTTATTATCAATTTATTTTATTAGGTAAAAGGCGGTACAATATTAGAAGACGTGGGGTCTCAAGTGACAACTATTGCAAATAAGGTTTGTCATTAATTCTTGTGGTACATACACTGTGTGTTAAAAATTAATAAATCACTAGGAAATTGACATAAATTCCATGTTAATTTTATCGCAAATCACTAAACCGAGTTTTATATCCTCGTATCCGTATATGGCTGGGTCGTACCTACTAAAAATGATCTAAAATATGCAACACCCTTTAGAACGCTAGGGTTAGAATAGCAGGTATCAGCATCATGTTGTAGCCTCACATTTCTGAACACTTTGTTTTTTGAATTGCGTTATTATCTTTATTAATAAATCATATACACAATAATAATAATGTACAGTGGATTTCGGGTATAACGACAACGAAGGGACCACTGTAATTTCGTCGTTATATCCAGAAGTCGTTACAGGCAAAGTTAAAGAAGATGTAGACATACACTGGTTTTCAATGAAACAATTTTTGCCTTTTTTTAACAGTAAATGTAGGTATAGTCAGGTATAGTATATATAATCGGTTTAGTGAGAAAATTAACTTTTAATTTGTCACTTTTGTAGTGATATGTTGATTTTGACGCTTTATAATTTATAAGTAACAATAAAAGGTATGTATAACGAAAAACGAATGCATCTGATAAAAATAAACATAAACCAAGTAAACTGTTAGATTAATAAATAGAAGCGCGCGTTCCCTTAAATTATTCGATATCTCCTCAGCGCATTGTACTTCCCACCAGTAATATAATTTTTAATTAATTGATGAACTTCATTAAACTGTCTTCTATTTAATCGAAATGACCCTTTAAATACTCTGTTTTAAACTCTCCATGACCTTATCATTTTCGAAGATATGCATTTACTTTAGTTTTCTTCCTTTTTCAATTGAGTAAATGCAGTAAGTCCTTTCCAGATTCAGATTCTAAAACGAGATTTAGTTGCTCATTCGCTGTCATTGTGGAAATAACTTGGGTGTGGGCTGTATTCAATTTGCGTTATCTAAGCAAAATGTACTCCTGGGCTGGGTTTTGGCCAAATGTGGGCTATGCGTATACCGTGCGTGAGCTGGGTTTAATTTGCAATTTGCGTCGAGGAATTGATTCTTTTGTGCGACATTTTCTTCGGGTGGGCACAACAATCTGATGAATAATTTAGAAACGCATACGGGGCAAAGAAAGAAAGAAACATTTTTGTTATTTTTATATTTTATTTTATTTTATTTTACAATGTAGTTGAACAATAATGCTATAGTATCATTGTTGTCTAGCATTTCTCCTAATTATTTTAATTTTGTTAGATGGGAGAACTTGGTAGAAAAGGATGGCAAGAAGTAACTGGAAATAATAGTACCAGTCGTCCAGGAGGTGACTATCATTCTGGAGTATTTGGGGCGCAAGGAGGTACTTTACCAGGAGAAAGATCTTCCTTAGTCAACAGTGGGAGTGGATCTGCTCGAGGAGACGAGGATTGGAGTTGGAGCAGTCAGCAAGGATCCAAGTAAGTATTACACGGTGGTTAGTCGACCGCTAGTGGAGGACTATTACGTAAGGCTGAGGGGTCAAAAATTGATGAGTTTTTTCATGGCTGTTTGTAGTCAGCCGTCAGTAATCGACTACTTTAATTGCTTAATAAATACGAACTATTGCACTTATCATTTAACAAATTCGTTATTTTACAAAATTCACACCATTTTTCTGATTTTTTTTTTAAGAGTTGGTATCATTGAGTTTTGCTATTTTATATATGTATAATATAGGTAAATATGTTAGGTTAGGTTAAGATCTTAGAAATTATATGGAGTGCTCGTTCCTATCCTTAGTACATTGTAGTACACGAAACCATGATAAAGATACCGTTCCATTTTTTGGGTACTAGAAAGGGCGACATTCCGTGCAACATTACAATACGTAGACCTCTCATCTTACCTTCATTCTACTCGACTGATGCCTTAAAGCACAAAGTTCTGGAGGCAGCATCCTTTATTACAATAGCATGATCGAGCGCAGAGAGAAATAGAAAGTATGTTGCTCCATTTTTCTCTTTTTAACGCGGCCTGGTTGGCTCTCTTTTCATACAGATGTTAGAGCAAAAGCATATACACTTATGACAGCCATTTTTATCTGCGACCGATGACGCTGCCTTCAGTACTTACACTCTAAGACGTTTTACTGTATTCATTTTATACAGCACACGTAAACAAAGATATATGTCCTCGTAAGCAAGAAGATTAGAGATAAGAGCATTTATTTAATTCGAAGCGAATGGTTCTAAAAAGCATCATCAGTAATAAAGGAAAGAAAAAAAAAATAATCCGCTGCGCGTGATCGAACGCGCATAAATTTCAGTACCGTCAATTTAGATGCTACCCAGGGTAAGATCTAAAAATCTTGAGAAAGTAGTGTATGTAGATGAAGAATATCTGCGAAGTATCCAAAAATTTTGATTGGAATTGTTGCTAAATTGCGTCTAAAAACACGCGAAATAGGCTTTTCATTGCAAACAAAGAAACTATAATATTTATAATAGTTGCTGAGTAGTCTAAATAATCGTTAGAAATGGCCAATATTTCAATTGTTAATAACTTTGTTAGTACAAACGTTATGTAGATGATACTTTAAGAATAATTAGTTGTTAATACAAACAAATAAAAAAAAACGCAACTTGACCTGTAGCTGTAGTTTCCGAAATATTCTGTTTTACTAAAAAAACATTAAATTGTTAAATGTTATTTTGTATAGATTTGGCAAAAGATGAGGCAATTTTGTTCGGGGCATTCGATAGTTTACGGCCTATTCTTTCAAGAACGTAGTTGTACAAATCGATTTTCATAAATTAAATTGTTGAAAATTGTGGTTATAAAAGGGATATAAAAATGGCAATATCTCCTTTAATTTTTGTTTTTTTTTTAATCTAGTTGCGCAGATGAATTCTGCTTCTTTGTCCAGGAATTTCCATAAAATAACAGTCTGTCTCAAGGAAGAGTCGAGTTATTTTTTTTTTTAATCACAGAGACTGCTTATAAATATTAAGAAATGAAACTATGGTATGTTGTAAATAACATATTATACCCACTTACGTTTAATGAATCCACAAAATTATTGAATTATTTCGAGCGGCCAAGAATGTGGTTGGGATAGTCTGAGTGAGCGCTTTAAATCCTTGAAAATCTGTTAAGGAATTTTATTTGCTAAAACTTTTACAATTAACTTTTTCCTACAAAAATTATAGTTTTTTTGTTATTAACGAATAACCTGTTTCGCGTGTTTTTGGTTGCAATTTAGCAACCAGCCAAATTTTTTTGATAATTCGCTGATATCCTTCATTATCATATCTTACCCTGGGTAGCATTTACTTTTTTTGAGATATTAATTCGACTGGCCTTGTTGACAAATACAAAACGGAAAAATATACAACGTGTAAGTATACAACACGCTGGTGAAGTGAAACTTCTTCAAACCCACAAACATACCTGGATAGGGGTTAAGGAATTAATGGTATTATTTGTACACTATGAATTTAAATTTTACACTATACATGAAGGAGTTGCCTGTAATGAAAGTTGCATTGAAGCGCTCTCACGGCTCAAGCGATCCGCACTACGAACTCGCCTAGTAAAGGGGGACATCCGTTGCATGATTTCGTTACATAGCAACTCGCATGAAACGAACTTACCCTACCGTGCGTAAAGTAGTTTCACTTCAAAAATCCCGTTATCTACACGCAAATCGAATGCGCACTGCCTTATTGCACAACGGACGACTGAGTACAACTTGATGCTCTTATCGCTCACGCCGCGATGGACATTAAGCAAGCCATGTATTAGCAGGGCATAAGAAAAAGTAACCATAGTAAACTACCATTGCGCAAAGTGTTTACTTGACATCCGTGTATATGTACCTTTGTCGGAATATTGCATTATTTATGACAGTTTAGCATATAAAAAAATGTAAGCAGGCTCCTTCACGCAAACAAATAATGCGATACATGGATAAAGGTATACCTACATACAAATAGATGCGCGTGAGTCAAAGTGGGTTTACTTGCTTCTCCTGTTTGTAGTCTTCTTGCTCTAAAGTTAGAATAGGCATGATGACAGTATTAAAAAATCAAATAATAAATGATTTTAGAATAAAATATATATTGAAAGGATTCTAAGAAATGATCCGGTTTTAATAAAAACGTTGAGATTAATAAGATTGTTTGAAATATAAACAAACCATTTGTTAGATGTTGCTATTGACGTGTCTCTGTATAGAAGGACTTGCAAATTTTGGAATTCATTTTTAACATACGAAATATTTTTGACAATTTTTTTCGTTGAGCATAGACACAATGCAATGTTTACCTAGCGTGATGTCACAGCGGACGCCATGATACGAGTGTTTTTGTTCATAATTCAAAGCAGATATAATAAAATGAAATAATATGCGTTAAAACGTAATTTATTGCTGAAATAATGTGTTTTTCGGAAATAGTAGACGTGTACTTGCGTTATAAAAAGGCATTTCAAAATCTGTCATTATGTCCATTCTTGTATTCAATATTAAAATACATTTTCTATCATTTATCAAATAATACATTTTTTGTGTTATTTTTGTCTCACCAAGACATAACTTACAGAGTTTCTAGTCCGAGAAGTCCAAATCAAAACTGGGAAAATAATAGTAGCAATTGGGGTGGTGGCTATCAATCTGAATCGTTAGGTTATCAGTCGAATTCGGGAAACAATAGTTTAAATAATTTTAGTATTTCTTCCACAACTACTGTTTCTGAGAAGAAGAACGTTCGTAAAGAGAAAACATCGGAAAAGAAATCCGGCTGGGATGATAAGTGGGGTGATGATGATCTTTGGGATAATCTGAACAAGTAAATGAATTTGACATTTATAGGAATTTTACTTCAACTTATTTAGTTCAATTATGTATATTTTTAAATATTCTTAGCTGATTACTTATTAAATATACTGGTTTATTGAGATTATTTATTCAAGATAATAAACGTTTTATCAAAAATAATAACTCCAAACTTAAATAACTCGAACAAAAATAATGTATCAAGACATCGGATTTCTAATTTTCTATAAAGAAAATAGAATGATATTGGGATGTGGATGTACTATTTTTAATTTAATGGGTGGTATGCATAAACTGAAGTAGATGCTAATTCTTCAAGAAAAAACATTTATATATTTTGAAAAATTTACTTACTTCTAGGATATCACCCAAGAAATGATAGGTCATCTATACTTATTTTTTTTTTATTAATTCTAATAAGGTTATAACTGTCATAAAATAANATTTTGGAATTCATTTTTAACATACGAAATATTTTTGACAATTTTTTTCGTTGAGCATAGACACAATGCAATGTTTACCTAGCGTGATGTCACAGCGGACGCCATGATACGAGTGTTTTTGTTCATAATTCAAAGCAGATATAATAAAATGAAATAATATGCGTTAAAACGTAATTTATTGCTGAAATAATGTGTTTTTCGGAAATAGTAGACGTGTACTTGCGTTATAAAAAGGCATTTCAAAATCTGTCATTATGTCCATTCTTGTATTCAATATTAAAATACATTTTCTATCATTTATCAAATAATACATTTTTTGTGTTATTTTTGTCTCACCAAGACATAACTTACAGAGTTTCTAGTCCGAGAAGTCCAAATCAAAACTGGGAAAATAATAGTAGCAATTGGGGTGGTGGCTATCAATCTGAATCGTTAGGTTATCAGTCGAATTCGGGAAACAATAGTTTAAATAATTTTAGTATTTCTTCCACAACTACTGTTTCTGAGAAGAAGAACGTTCGTAAAGAGAAAACATCGGAAAAGAAATCCGGCTGGGATGATAAGTGGGGTGATGATGATCTTTGGGATAATCTGAACAAGTAAATGAATTTGACATTTATAGGAATTTTACTTCAACTTATTTAGTTCAATTATGTATATTTTTAAATATTCTTAGCTGATTACTTATTAAATATACTGGTTTATTGAGATTATTTATTCAAGATAATAAACGTTTTATCAAAAATAATAACTCCAAACTTAAATAACTCGAACAAAAATAATGTATCAAGACATCGGATTTCTAATTTTCTATAAAGAAAATAGAATGATATTGGGATGTGGATGTACTATTTTTAATTTAATGGGTGGTATGCATAAACTGAAGTAGATGCTAATTCTTCAAGAAAAAACATTTATATATTTTGAAAAATTTACTTGCTTCTAGGATATCACCCAAGAAATGATAGGTCATCTATACTTATTTTTTTTTATTAATTCTAATAAGGTTATAACTGTCATAAAATAATTGCAATTGGTATTAATTCCCCAACATGCGATACATCTTTTACTACATTTGATGTAGATACTTGTAATTTTAAGACAAAAACTTTTTTACATTAGAATATCTCCTTTTTGAGCGTAGTAAGTATTACACGAGTGTAGTGAATAACTACTTTATTGACGAAGTAGGTACCTGAAGCTTTAGAATACACTACGTTTTATACATAACACTCCATGCTATACACTGATAGGAATTAATTTATTCGGCTCGAGGTATTGAGAAATACATGTTCGAGTTTTTAGGTAATTAAAATTACAACACATTTAATTGTCGCGAAACCATGAAAAAGTACGAATTATAGAATTTTGGCTATAAAATATGTTTTCGTTATTGTTTTATTTTCTGTGTTTGGTGCTATTATCATAAAAATAAACGACAAGGATGCATCTTAAAAAACATATTGGTATTAAATAAGTACATTAATGTTATCTATGAAATAATGAGGTAATCGTAAAATATATTTTGTTTGCATAAGAAATAAATTAAGTATTTACTAGAATAGGAACTATTTTTTATTTACTGTCTCTTGTCTAAATATTTTTTTCTTAAAATATATTCAAGCTATTATTTATGGATATGAACATCTATTGTAACATATAATTACATTTTAAAGTTGTTATATAAAGAAAAACATAAATATATTCTACCTTTATTGTTATTCTTTATTCTTTAATTTAAACAATATAAAAGGTGTTTTGACGATCTGCATTTGATCTAGAAACATTTTTAGAATATTCAAGTACATTCTCACAAAACGCACACACTATCCACCAAACTCAAAAAATCTCGTTAGGAGATTTTAAACATTTGTCAGAATACTGGCCGACTACTTTCGATCATCATATTTCTTACACCATCATAGCTACCGACATGCAATCACCATATGTATGATGGAAGACACGAGGTAGCTTCTGATGCACACGGGGTCGGGACACAAGCGGGTCTTGATAATAGCAATTTACGATTTAGGCGCATTCAGACGAGATGGTCCATACTACGATAAAACGCAACTATACACATAATATTATCCGGTGCACTTTTAATTTATATTCTTGGGGAAGAAGAAATTGCTAAAATTCATATTTTTAGGTATTTTAACTAAAAATAATACTATTAGATTGTACAATTTCGAAAATTTTAATAGGAAGAATGAAAAATACCTAAAAAAATGTAAAATATGGATACACTTGGAAAATTATAATAAATGTAATTTATTCCGCAGTGATTTTTATAAATTTCCATAAAAACGAAATGCATTAAAATCTTTATTGACTAGATTCAGATTAAACAATGCCAATAATTATATACATCTCCAAATAGTACAAAAAGCGATTAAACAGCAAAACATGGTATTAACAAATAAATATAAAATTTGCTNTTTTTCCTACTGCAGATTACCTAAAGTTAATGAGGAAAAATTTTGTTGTTTTGAGTAAAACCTTCAGTCAGTGACCGATTTCGACAACTGCGTGCAATAAGTATAATAACAGATTACCAATGCAATATCCGCAGCCCTTTGAAATAATAGTAGAGCTTGATCTGGATGTTGCTGCTCCAAAATTTTTGCAGCCTTATCTAAAGCAGCGGCAGCAGTATCTGCACTGCCATGGGATTGATACATATTGGCAGATTTCTCTGCCAAAGATGGCACATCTTTTAAATCTCCCAATTCTTTGCATATCAGAATCGCTTGATCAAGAGCCTTTGCTGCATAAAAAAGTCTTTAATGTTATAGGAAAATATTTTACATCTGTCTACAAAGTGGAAAACATGCATTTTTGATTGTTTACATAACTCTGTATTTAAATAAGAAAGGAGACTAATAATAAGAGCGGTCCCCTTTTACGAGAATTAAATAATTGCATTATACATTGTGAAGAAGTTTGAAAATTAGATACTTGATTGAGACAAAAACTGACTGGATTCAACTATTAAAGCATCTGAATAAACATTTTATATTGTTAAATTATAGTGAATAGCTGCTTTTAATAGGAAGAATGAAAAATACCTAAAAAAATGTAAAATATGGATACACTTGGAAAATTATAATAAATGTAATTTATTCCGCAGTGATTTTTATAAATTTCCATAAAAACGAAATGCATTAAAATCTTTATTGACTAGATTCAGATTAAACAATGCCAATAATTATATACATCTCCAAATAGTACAAAAAGCGATTAAACAGCAAAACATGGTATTAACAAATAAATATAAAATTTGCTGCAAGTAAAATGTTAAAAATATTTAACAGTGTTCTAACTAAATGACAAACATCTGTATATATCTTTTTGGCTTTATCAGATATTTTAATTTTTTATCTTTGCAATTGAGCCTTAGGAATACGTATAAGTACAACAAGTTCATTCATCACTATAATGATTTTCCTACACATACTTATATAAGTAGTTTTATTTTAATGGGTAAAAATTGAATAAGAACGATTTATATATGAGGATACATAAGATTAAAAGACTCATTACAAAGGCTTTTCTTTTAAATTGCATAAAAATAAAAAACGTTAATTCAACTTAAATATGGGCTACTTCTAAGAATTTTAGTGTTTTTGAATCAGTGTCCCCAAATGATTATTAAGCCTTGTTTAATGATGGTAAACTGGTAACAAAATTTTTAGCTCTCCAAAAGTACTTATTCCCTCCATCGGTCGCGCTGTTAGAAGAAATCGAACAAAATTTTATCCCGTAAGACTTCACTAAAAATGAATGAATTTCCCTATATTCTAGCAATGCCTCATAGGAGTGACAGAATTATGGCTAGCTCATGTATTTATAATAGTTTTAATCTAACGACGCAACCATTCCCACATGATTTTTTCGGAATCGACATAACTTAGTGCAAAAATTAGTATTAGAATAAATCCGTACGTGCAACCAATGGCGGGATAAAATGATATGCGACCAATGAAGAGTTAACAAATTAGAAGGTAATGATTTTTTGTTTTATAACTTTCAATAAAACTTTATTAGATACCATGTGCTCATATTCGAAAAGGTCGAAAGTACATTAATGATAAGTCAATTCAATACCATTAAACATCAATAATATAGGTGAAGATTGAAATCAAATTTAAACTCGTTCGAACAAAAACCTTATGCACATTTGCAAAGATAGTGCAGATTTGAAAAAAAAAACTTTTCTTATTGCTACCTGTTTATAATCATTTAATATGGCTCATAAACTAAGAAATCTGTTTTTAAACTGTTAAAGCATAAAAGTTCAGTTAGATTTCATCAATTATAACTAATAACTTTTTATGGAATGTAACGTTTTAATGTAGCATTTAAGTACTTGCGCTTTGCTAGCTTCCTGGGTGGGGTAGTTTATTTGTTAATTACAATTACTTCTTTTATTTAGTTGATTTAACATAAACTACCTTCAAACTCTTCTTCATCATTACCTGGTTTTAAATTATCAGTAATTTGTCTTGTTTCTACTTCTTCGGGGGTATGTTCCTGAAAAAAAAACGAATGTTTTACAAATAAATTCTTAATGAATATCTAGAAATTATACCTCTATAGTGGCAGTAGTTTGCAAATTAGGAGAAACATAAGAGGGAGCTGCGTTTTCACGAACGGTTGCTTTAGGAGGACAACTAATTCCTTCAGGTAATTTTAAATCCCTTGCAAGAATTGCATACTCAACGTCCATATGTTTGATAAACGGATTATTTAAGGCCTTTTTTGCAACATCGGGGTCTTCGTCATCATATGCTTGTAAAAGCATTTCCAATGTTTGCACTTCGGGGCCTTCGCAGTAATTTCCTACCCGATTATTAAAAATATAATTTTGTTAGTTATTTAAATTTTACTATTAAATTCTAATAAGGTTATAACTGTCATAAAATAATTGCAATTGGTATTAATTCCCCAACATGCGATACATCTTTTACTACATTTGATGTAGATACTTGTAATTTTAAGACAAAAACTTTTTTACATTAGAATATCTCCTTTTTGAGCGTAGTAAGTATTACNTATATGTATATATATTGTAAAATTCCGAATCTTATACGTAAATATTTCAAGAATCCTTGAAAACATTACCCCATTCCTTAAATGCTTTCTCCGCAGCCACAACATCCTCTCTGGCTAATTGGACAAGTACTAAAGCAACAGCCAATCTACCAGTTGCTTGATAAGACTCAGTTTGTTGTAGCAAACCAATTTCTCTACGTATTGCATCTGCTGCTAAATCATATCTACAAAAATTGTTTAAACAAAATGTGCAGTTATGTAATAGTAATTATTTGCTTACTGTTTAAGTTTCACATGCAATCTGGATACTTTGCTCATATATTCTGCTGATTGCCTCACACTGTCTTGCATCTGTAAGTAAACAAAAGTTTAGGATATTCATTAAATAGCGTATGCTGAATTTAAATTGTATGCACAAGTGACTATTAAAAAAAAAAAACAGAGCAGATAAAGCAATTGAAGAGCTAAAGCAAGGCAACATAACTTACAACCTAGTAATTTTACTTATTGAATAAAAAACATTTTAGTTAATATGAACTTCTTGGTCCGAAATTAATAGAAACTGCCAGGCGTGGATTCCGATTTTAATCTTATTTGATCTCATCAAAACACCAGAGGTAGTCTCGACAAATCATATCATCGACGAAAATAAGGAGCCCTTTAGAAGTAAGTAGAGTTAGATACGGCAGCTTGCCCAACTAAATCGACACAGTTTGTATACGTAATGGGTACGTATTCATTCTTGGTCAACAATTTATCGATACTATCACATGTGAATTGCGTTTTCGATTGTACTTAATGAAATGTTCGGGATTATTTATCAATTGTTAATTTTGTTAACGCATGGGAAAACAAATTGAGATTACTTCTTGACGAATTCGTTTCGGCAGTTACTCGAAGTTGTGGTGTCGGGGTTGATAGACGACTGACTGAAACGATGTTTTTCGCCGTAGGTATGAAAATAAAAAATATATTCGAAAATTACATCACTTAAGTTGTATAAACCACTCCTTTAACAATTATCAAACATTAATGTGATATCAACGTAATTACTTCCCACTACATATTACCTCAAGTTAATGAGGGAAAATTTTGTTGCGCCGTTGCACCCTTGCCGGGAACCTGGCTTTACGTACCAGTAATCTTACCACTAAGCTACAAGAGGCGATAGCAGCAACAACGACGGAACGTACTTACTAGGCCCTAGAGTCGTCGAAATTAATGTATATATTTTTATA